GCTTGTTAGCGGATTATTTGTGCGTTTGACCATTTATTTCAGCGAGTTTCTTCCCTGTTGCTGCGCCCTCGCCTTGTAGTACTCGGTACATACATACATTTCCATGTGTTTTTATCTATAACGGCAAAATATTTACGTTTTCCGCATGGGACGCATCGGCTGCGCCGCACAGCAAACGAAGCACATAACTAAACATTGATATCTGATGATTATGTGAAATGTGCGCCGCGGCTCGTTGTAAATTCAGCCGGCGATATTTGCTATTTGCAGAAATAACGAGGATATAACGAGACACGAATGAATTGTGAATTGTTTTGCGCCAAGCGAGCGATGGTTTCGCCGAAGCCGGTGCGTTATTAGCGATGGCGCTTTTTATTTCTGCATCATTTTTTCGTCTCTTCGGGCTACAAATTCGGTTTTAATAATGGAATATTACACAACCGTAATGCAGGAACAATGCGGCAATAAATATACGTTTTGATATCTGATTTGATTGCATGCACATTCACATTCTGCGCGGGACCCGTTGGTGAGTGGAAGACATTCACGATTGTTTCACAAATTTACTTTGTACGCGGCTTTCATCCAGTCATAAGTCACATGATATCTGAGACTAGGTCAATATTAAGTGAGTATCAACTGAAATAGGTAATCATAATATTTACATTGCAACTTGATAACGTCACATGATATTCTCATGACCCAAACGTGCATTTTTTATTCATGATTTTATTGATATTAGATTAAATTTTGCTGCAACAACAATGGAGTTATTGCATGATGGGCGACTTGTTTTCATGCTGGCATGTTTCGTGTGTGTTTTGCAACGGACGCAATTTCATATGCGACAAATAGACAGCGCGAATGAATGTCATAAAACATAATTGAATTTCGCATCGCATAGCGGTGCTCCGGCAGCGCATATGTACGAGTATTAACAATTTCTTTGTCTCAGTGCAGCTCGGCGCTCAGTACGCTTGCGATTCCTATTACGCCGTTAGGAAAGCACAATTTCGTAGTTCTTTGAGTGCAGTCGGCTTATTGCGGTACGTACGTCGCATGCGAGCTACATTTTTACGACGTTGGTTCAGATAAATTGTTTTAATTAAACAAATGTCACGAATATTTTATGCTGCAAGCGGTACGATTTGTCATCGTACCGAGAATGTCATTTGTTTCGCGCTCCTGTTGATAGTTACAGAGGTTGTAAGTAGTACACAATGATAATTATATATGCGAGTACAAGGATATGAGCTTAAAAGCTGTTATACGTTATTGGACAATCCATTTTCCATTCGTAACTCAGTTATTATCAATGCGATTCATACAGAAACTTCGATTATAATATTTATTTTACATGAATGGATAATATTTTTCCCCAATTCTCTCCTGAATGTTTTGTTATAAGAAAGAAGTATCAAATCGTTAAAAAAACAGATTACATCATTATTTCGTGTTCGAATCATGTCGTAGCCGATGTGAATTGCCCAAGGAAGACTTCAATTACGTGAAAATAGTGAAAACGCAATTAATTTATTAATTGTTAGATAATAATTGTCATTAATGCAGCAGAATGGTTCATAATGCGTTCTGCGACGTTCGCAATGCTGCGCCGTCATGAAATTGCAAATTGTGTGTGTAGAGACGCACCGCGCGCGTAATTGCCCCGAAATGGAATTAATTTCCACTGCGTGTGCGTTTATAAAAACACACATTAATGCCATCCCGATGCTCGCGCGCGAAACTTGCGCCTTTTGTCTCTGCAGTGCGCGCCCGGCGAATTCGTTCTGCATTTTTATAAGCGGCAGACGCGCTGCTCGTTGCTCGGTTTGTAATTTAATTACGAGAAACACACAAAAACACATATTGCAGTCAGACCGACGCGAAACCTGCAGTGGATGGGCTGACTCGCATCAACAATAAAATAAAGTGGAGCATGCTGGCCGCGGACTCCCAGGATGGTTTTCATAAAAATTGCATTGACCGATTAAACTTTTTACCGTGGTGTTCGCACGCATGCTAGCGAAGGAACGTCTTTTTTATGGTGGTACAAGAAAGCTCTTCACTAGGATTGCGCGGAATAGAAGAATCATGGCTTTTCTTTCTTGTGCAGTGTGCAAAAAATTGACTAGGAGTAAAAATCTTTTATTTTCCTTAGTTTTATTAGAAACGTTCATTGTCAGCGGACGTTCCAAGTTAGAAAATTAGTTATTTACGGTCATGACTCCAGAAGTATTGAGATGTTAGTTATACTTTAGACTACTTTATGTTGATTGAGATTTTTAAAAAATATTTGGAATACTTCCCGGCGTTTTGAAACCCGCCAAAGCGAAATCACTACGTGTGCTGCTCTCCCAAGTTTGCAGCAAAGAAGAATTTTAATTGCGTGCAATTATGCGCACAACTTTCGTGTATACTTATTTAGGTGTACGCGCTTGCCTTTGGAGTACAAGTCGAAATGTTAATTGCTTTTCGTAATCTTACGTTTTTGTGTGTTTCGCAATTTCGAAAAATAACTAAAGTTTCTCATCTGAACATTGATGATTTGTAATTTCTCATTTCGGAAACGATTTGAAAATGAACTAGTTCAGATCTACACCGATGTTCCTACATATACATGTTATATCTAGGATTATATGAAATATAATTTCACCGCGTGTCGTGACCAGGTACCTGGATGGCGATGGCTGCCGCACGCTCTCCGTACAAATACAGAAATTCATATCCGACGATATTCTGCACGCGAGAAGGGCGATAAGCGCGCATATTCCTCGGCGGACGATCGTCGCACGTTATTACTCGACGAAGGAAGGCATTCTTCTGCGTGTTGTTCGTGCGCACAATATTGGGAGATACATCCGCGGCCGCGCGCTGGATTGAAATGATTACGTAGAGTTGATTATGAGTTTTTCGCATCAGATAGCGCACGCCGCCCAGCCGGCTCGGTAAAAGTTATAATATAAATATTGACAATTGGATGCGAATGTTTTTATTGAATCGGCGGTCACGACTCCCTGCGAGATTTCAGCGCTCGCCGATCGGCGCGTTTGATTGCGAATTGCGAAACGAAATGAAGAGACAGACGCGCGGTGGAAATTTCGAGGCAAAATTTCCGTTAAGCAATTGATTGTGGATTTTTTAGGCACGTGTTGCTGCCGTTGCTCATCTGATGTGCCAGCGATAGGTTGCATAATGTTTTATTGTGAAAACAATCAAAAAGTGTCATCTGCGATGGCGTGATGCAACTAGCTTTTCTTGTTTTCTAAGACGATTAACTGATTACTATAATAAACACGATGGTAATAAGAAAAGCAATTATTATGGTGGGTTTTCGTTATTTTTTACCCTCTTGAGTTGTTGCTGCGTTTGGTTCATTGGTTTAGGCATCGAGTTTCTCTCATACCTGCCAATCTGGACTGGTTCAGATGGTTTTTATGATGGTTCAGCCAGTCAACAAAAAAGAAATGCTTTGCGTCACTTAGCAAGCATATATCTTCACTTTCCAGCTCAATTTCTTGTTTTTTTGTTTTCTTGCTTTTGAACAGAATGCGGTATTTTATGTCGACTGTTGAATTTCTGCAATTCTGACAGCAATTTATTTAGCATGCGTTTTTGTTTGTTTTTCATATACATCGCGCCTTAATTGGGAAAAATGTGCTAGACGGCCGTAATTAGACGCTACTGCGAGGAGTCTAGTTGCCAGCAATGCAACTACTAGCAACATTCCGTGAGATTTATTTATGTCGCCATTAGCATCTTTCGCTTCTTCACATCCACGCGCAGTGCACACAAATACAGAGAGCATACAGTTGCTTGGTGTGAATGCGCAAATAAATGTAGTGTATTCGCGGTTTGTGTTCAAAAATTTTGCACTTTATTTCTGATGAGCAGCGACCGGCTGCTGTGCGCAGCGATACTATAAATTACGCCATAAAGGAAAGAAAGATATTGTGATAATTCTTTATTCAGTGGTAACTTCTTTATGAGACGCGCGATTTAGTGCGATGTCCATAGTTCATTAATATTCACGCATTGCACTGCAGCACGCAATTGCATTCGCCTGCGAGCGCATTGCCATCGCATTCGTATTACTATTTACCACAGGTATTACGTTCCTCATCGTTTGGTTTTCAACCAGTTTTCATTATGTCTTCGCGATCAACGCGTACAGAGATGGATTTCACCGAAATTAAATTATCGCAATTTTATTCATCACTATCAGTACAATATTTGTTTTTTGTTTAATTTCTGTTAGTATTATTAAGTTGGGTTAAAATTGTGTTGGTTTTGTGTATTATTTGCGCCGATACTGTGCAAATCTCGTTTTGTTTATTTACCTTGTCTGCGGTCGTTGCAGCGCACCCACGTTTGCTTTATTTATAGAATTAACAAGTAGTTATAGGTGCAAATTTATTGCTTAATTAATATATTTGCATTTTAATTTTATATTTGAGGCTCGCACGCTCGCTTAACGAAGGAATGCGTAATCCACGAAATAATCTATTACGCACTGCGCAATGTTTTAAGACTGCCATAATTGAATACTCTCGTCAGATTGCAGCTACTGCTGCTTATTACAAAATAATTGGCTGGTTGCATGATTAAACAAAAATAGAGTTACAAAATTCACATTCTAATTACATATTGGTTGACAAGCTACAAGAACTTTTTTTTTGCTTATTTTATTAACTCTGTATTATTTTAAGTGCAGCTTTGTGGGATGTGATTCTACGCCGTTTAATAACACTATGTCGGTGTCGTCGTTTGTAATTGTAATTAGACACATTTAGACAACAATAACACAATATGGAAACCGATTAAGTTATAACACGTTGTCTGCATGCGGCACGCCATGCCAAATACACACATTCGAGAGTGCTACAACCGACTGTCGCGGCCGATGTCATTGTTATTCCGCTTGCATTTGTCGTTATTATCCTCGTTATTGTCACGACGCGTTGTTCGATCGTTGACGTTTTCATGGCGCGACGGAGCGCACCAACACGACACCTATTTGTCATCGATCGCTTCCATGCGTGGCATGTTTCATTCATTATCCGACATTTGTGCTTCTACAAATCAAGCCGGCCACATCCATATTCCATATTTCGTGGTATTCCACAGTGAAAGTCTTCTGGGATGCGTTTGATACGGGTGGTGAGATAATTGGGAACTGTGTCCAACGTGTAAAAATGATGAGGTGCGTTGATTTATCGGTTTCATTAAGTCAAAAGGATGGAGTCGAAGGACTTAAAATGTTTTGTTGTTGATGACATGGACGTATCTCATGTGATGGTATGTGCACCTTGCTTGGAGGACCTGGAAGGTGATGGTGTTACAGTTGAATAATATTTGACACTGATACAGTCTTTGTTTTACGTCGGATTAATTAATTACTTGGTGCTGATCAAGATACTGTTTGAAATAGCGATTGATAAATGAATACAAAAACCCCTAACATGCAACGACTCAGGAAAAATCAAGATTCAGAGTAGGTATAAGAATAAATTGTTGAGCATTGTTGAAGTGGATAATTTTTTAGTTGATTTTCTTCGTGCTTTGATCTTCATGGAGTACCTTCCTTCAAATTTTGTTGGTGTGTCTAACTTAGGCGCTGGCTTGCAACATCACACATCGCGATGTGATTGTGTGACTGTTAATAGTTTAATTAAAATTAATGATGAACGCTTGGCAATCGCGCCATAATACGCCACGGGTTTGGCATAGCATTGCGTTGCTTGCTAGCCGCCTTGGCGCGAAGCAGCCGTTATCGTTTTCATACGGTTCTCTCGCCTTTATGCCCGACGTTGAAAGGTACGAGTGGCTGAAAGGATCGCTTTGTAGCGGATTAGGTGCGATTCATCGTTTCAATAATTCGAATGCCACTGGCCCGACGCCGCCGAATTTCAATAGCGCCTTAATGAATGATACTTTTAATAATTTGTGTGGTCATTTCGAGCTGCGCGCTACAAGCTGATGGTAGGGTGGGATTGAATTTTAAATTAATTATTAATTTGCTGGCTAATATTTGCCATATGCCAAGACAAGATGTTTTGCATAATGCCAATTGATATTAATTTTTTAGTTATTCAAGTTCATTAAAACATTGAACTAATACCTACGTTGTAGCTGCGGATAATTTTTTTTCTTTGGTGATGCTTCTTGCTCTTGACTTCCATTGTACACAAGTAATTAATACAAATCTACAATTTGTAGCTCACGGGTCAGTGCAGCACATAGCGACTCGACGACAAACAATTACGCTTACAAATAAGTCGGACGTAAAATGTTTCGAAATGAAAAAGAGACGCGAGGCAAACCGTAGAAAGAAATATGAAAAAAGCAGACGTGTAACGCCATACGCTCGTATGGCGAGAGTAATAATTGTCTTTTGTGTGCGAAACAGGACGTCGTTAAAGGACACTTAATAAATTTAATTCCACCCAAGAAGTACGCGCGTCCGCGTATCGCGTTGAGCACACATTATAAAAAAGGGAATTACAAACAAGCTGCATTGGCTAAACACACATACACATCGCTCGAGTGAGTGAATTGCTAACGAATTTACATTTAGTTACAATTTTTCTTTTTCAAAGTAGTTTCACATCGCGCGCTCAACAATTAAACTCATAAGATTCTTGCTTCGGTGAATAAAAAGAAAATCGTTGAAGAAGTGTGCGTGGAAATTGTAGTAGCGGGTATTTGAGATAAAAGATAAACGCTACAAGGACCTCATTATCAAGTAATTGGTACCCAATTGCTGCACACACATGCTTTACATACGCACTGAGGACGTGGCGCTCTGGCACTCGAGCATTAGCCAAGTATGCAATTGAATTTGTAATAGCAAATCATCAGAACGCATAATGGAACGGTAAATGGTATGATTAATTCAATTCGCCATGGCCTGCTGCTGCGGCGGTCACCAAGAACAATGATGCAATTAAATATTAATAGTACATTCAAAGAGTTAGCAAAGCGGAATCGAAAGGACTATGGTATTTTGTTAGCCACATTGTCTAAGTAATGGCAGGAAACAATGGACTTCTTTTCGCAAAAATAAGTGTTACAAGTTGCGTCGAATGTGAAGGAAATCGACGAGCAAACATTCAACGTCGGGAAGGTTGTTTATGCAGCCGGGCCGCGAAAAACGCGCGTGTGTGTGTTAATTAAACGCAATGCGCGCGCTCAAATTGAAAGACGACTGCTGGTAATGACCAACAAACGGGACGAACCGTTGCCGCCGGTTGCGTACGGTTTGATAACTCCATAAATAGATATTTTAGTTGGTCGCGGCGCAGATAAACGCCGCCACCGATTGATGGACGTGCGGCAGCCGCGACTGGCGATGGTGGCTCAGAGAAGATGTAGTGACGGTAGCGGCCGGCTGGCAGCCGCGGTATATACGAGGACACGCATGCAGAAAGACAACTGTCCGTTGTCAGCGCGTTGTCTTTCTAGCGACATCGGTGCTCGCGCTTGGGCTTAATAAATCCGACGGCCGTGCGCGCGCGGCTTGCGTCTGGCTTTGCATACCGACTTTGCGATGCTGCTTTATTGAGGCGACGCTGACAAAGTAAAGCGCTGCGACAAGTAACATGGAACACCCATCTCGAGTGCAATCCCATTACCGCGCGAGGCGTGCGCGTTTTTTCGCCCGACAAACAACCGTTACGTGTTCCGAATGTCCTCGGCGTGTTCGCCCTAATCGAAGCGCTGAGAGGCGAGCCGATGCGTTCTTATCTATCTGGTTGCGAATGCAGGAGGAAGCGATTTGGATCGGTATCGCGGCGTGCCAATGCGTTTCCTTAAATGTCGAATTAGAATGCTGCCGTGCACGTTTATGGGCAGATCCGGCCCTAAAACATCTCCATGATTAGCAAACTCATTTACCGACTGATCAGCAAATCTATCGCCTTTCTTTAACCGTTGAAACTTATTTTTCTTATTCCACATCACACATGCGGTAAGAGCAGCTTCTTCTTGGTGTGCCACGCTTGTAGGATTGTTATTTACACAGCGAGATGATATCAAAATCTAGAGCGTGAATAGCGACGCTTCTCCAACTTTAGAGTTGGTCGTGATTGTCGCACCCTGTTCTCCACAGCGTGCGAACAGAACGCGCGACTCGCATTTGTGTCAACTAAATACTACACACCGACATACCAAATATATTCTCTATTTCGCAAATTTGTTCACTTTGCTTGCTTTCTATCGAAAAAATACAAAGTGCTCTGGGAAAATGTTTGAACACGTGAACACTGGTCTTTCACATGCTTATATATTGCTCGATAATTGTTGGAAACATTCGTTATCTACTTAAATGTTATTTATTAACGTTTCGAAAATGCGAGATTGAAAAGGAAACGGACACTTAAATCTTATTATGCGGTTACAACGAACGAAATTTGATACGTTCGCGGAACTTTCGTTTTTCGCTACGAAATGCCACAATATGCTACGGTTCTACTGCTTGTTTGGTTCTCACAGTCGTTGCTTCAAATTTTCTACGAACGAACAGACTGACGACAAATATCCGCAAAACGGCGTCATTTCCTTTTGCAATTAGCACGTATTTACAGAATGTGTTGAGTGTTGCATCCACACCTTTAACCTCGACTCGCAAAAATATACTGACTAACAAAAGAAATTTTTCTCCGCGCCCAATATTCATATTGCCAATCGATGATGATCTAATATCTTGTAAGTTGTAACAATTGCAATTACCGTTGCGTGCGTTGCAGTGACCTTAGCAGGCGATAAGAATGATTTATGCGTATTTACTCAGATTTTATATTAGCTTGTGATAGGTTTACCTAGGAAAAATTCGCTAGCTGAAAGCTCAGCAGCGCACAGCTTGCTCATGGTAAGTACTTACATTGGTACTGACAATCACTCATAGGTTTATGGGCTATCATTCACTTGACTGGCGGCGACTGAGCACATGAAGTATGACTATGGAATTATTCAAATTAATTACGGGCTCTCGCATTTGCGCATTTGGATTGTCGGATTGTTGCTATACATTCGCGGCACTGTTTCGCAACGCAAGAATATAATCTATGGCATAATGCAAATGCGCGTGTGGTGTAGATACGGTACGTGTGTCTATAAATATGACATGTAAAAGTAAATGGACGAGCGAACTTCGTGCGCACTTCCAGCATGGAGACATTAATTCTCATTCATGTAGGCATATAAATTATTTATAGCTTTTCTTATAATTTGTTTTTGTGGTACATGTGTTTGCAAATTTGATCTTGGTCTGCATCATAATGCAATTGCAATTACTCAAGGAGTAAAAATAGTGAACGCAATGAGTTAGATTTACAGCAGGCGGAAGTTTTGGTACGTTTTATGGACGTATTATAAGTTTATTATATTTGTTTGTGGTATTCTCAGCCAAATGTGAACTCGATTGTGTTGATTCGTTACTAATATTCTGATTTACGCCTTGCCCACGTAATCGCATAAAATACAAGTACGGCGTGAAATGCAGGAAAATTAAACGACGCTTAAACTGGAGTAGACATTACGTTTAAACTATTTTAAAGTTTTGTTGAACAAATATGGCGACCAGAAATTTTGTGGTGGAATTTTCAGAGGTCGTGCTGTTTTTTTTTTCGCATTTTTTCTTGTTTCCTGGAGCTGTATCATAAATTGCCGATTGACATTTTATGCATAAGCAACGGAACCACAATGTACTTATAGCGTTTATGGGACGTGATGCCATGGTCCCTTTGTGAAAGTTTACAATTTTACAAAGAGGAACCACGAAGAATTGCGTTGTTTGCTTGTAGCTCAAGTACGTAAACCACAAGCACACACACCGAATCGACTGGAGAAAAAAATGATTGTTTGGAAGGCGCACGAGTTATCGCATAAATACATAACTGCCACAACAAGGTGCACGCAGGCAAGAAGGTGGATCGTTCAGCCAAAAAAAATACAACGCTTCGCAAAAATGTAATAAGGTGAAATTGTGCAGGGACCTGATGCAATACGATGACCGACTTGGTAGCCTTCGTTTCGTGGGTGCATGCTTTGGGCGGTTGTGAGTTAAACTTGACCGCATATTGGGTTGGTGCATCCGCGGAGACTTTTTGAGAGAAACGATTCGATTTTATTCGATGTGACGTAAAGTGCGTAATAAATTAGATAAAATTTTCGAATGAAATTTAAATAATTTCGTTCACAAGCCCGATGCGATGGTATCGGCGAGCAACTTTATGCTCTCTGCCTTTCATGTCGCCTTTCGGACTCTTCGGGAACTGGGTACTTGAGTTTGATGTCGCGACCAACTAGTTTTTGAGATGTTATACCAACGCACACGTATAATATCGCATAGAGGTTTTATGAATTGAGACCAGCGCTGCATCGGAATACAGGATATTCAGAAAGTATTCAAATAATGAATTTAATTGGATGGAAAGCAAGACACGGACAATTTTTTAAAATATTTTAATATTTGAACAGGTCCAAGTTAGGTAAACACCTAGTACTTGTTCTCCCTTTCCATTTGTAGTTCCAGAGAAAACGATCTGTGAGTTTCGTGCGGCGTGTAGTCGCGACGCGCGGTTTGCAGGTGACCCGTGTGGTGGGAGCAATGCACCTTATGTAAGTACCTTACATAACGCCATGATACCTACGCGCTCTCAAGGTCCGCTTCCTGTCACCAGATTGCCGGCTC